GTAGCGCAGGGTGTCGGCGCAGGTGTTGCAGAGGCAGAGGTGCCGGCAGGGCAGGATGAGGGTGTCACGGACATCCGACAGGCAGACGACACACTCAGCGCTGTTATCACTCACCTCATCCTCAGCTACCTGCCCCATGGGAGAGATAGGGATTGCTCAGCCTTGAGGATCCCCAGTCTGCATAGCATGAGGGTGGGTGCTCTAAAATACTGGCTCCAAGAGCTCACTGCAGTGTCCTGCCTGTGTCCATGGGCTGCCTGCTCTTCAAAAAGACCCCGAGGACCTCATTCCTCCCCTCCTGGAGGCTGAGATGGGGCCAGAGGCATTGGGCACCCCACAGGGGGATGTAGCCTTCACCCCAACTTTTACGCATATAGAACAGAGCATGAGGCACATTCCATGCCTTGAGCCCCACACTGCCCTTCTAAGCCAGCAAGATCAGGCATCACTGTCCCCAGGGACCATGAAGGATGGGAGAAAGAGCTCAATCCTTCAGCTTTCTGCCTCCAGCAGCTTTGATGCCTGCACAAATTGTCCCCAGACACCTGCAGCTCCCTGCTGCCCTGCAAACTCTTGCCCTGAGCACGTTTTAGAGGATGGACCTGTGCTAGGGGGAAGAGAGGATGAGGGAAGCATGCAGGATGCAGGCACATACCTTGGAGTCCTGCGTGTTGTACTTGTTCTCTATGCCATAGATCTCCTGCAGGAGGTAGCTCACACCATCCACCTGCAATCCCATGGGGAAGGGGTGAGGAACAGAGACAAGGCTCCCCCACAGCTGCTGCAGCTCCAAGCCCCTTCCTTGGACCAGCCCTCTCCCCCCCAACATCTGTGGGTTCTTTGCACTGATACACTTGAAATTGCACTCAGAAAGCTCTACAGGAGGCAGGAGCAGGGCAAGGGCAGGCTGTTGCCACCTCAGGGTTTGGGGCTGCCCCAAAGCCCCTCACTGCCTCCCCAGGTGACTGCCACCACCTCGGGGACACCCAGACACTCACCACTTGCTTCTGCTTGAGAGGCTTCACACAGAAGGTGCCATCACTGTGCTGGAGAGAGGAGAGAGCACATGGGTGGGCACCAAGCTGAGCATCCCAGGGACTGTTGTGCTGGAGCACCCACCCACCCTGTGGCTGTCACTGCTCCCTCCTCGCTCCCAACCAGTCCATTCTGCAGGAATTCTGGATTTTCCTGACACCCCAGTACCAGGTAGCTGTGGGATGTGAGAAACATTGCAAAGCTAGAGATTTGTTGGAGGAAGGAAGATGGAGTTGAGCCCAAATGCCTCAAAAATGAGTGCTTAAAATGAGGGGATAGTCCCAGAATTTCAGGAGCAGCCCTAAAACAGCCCCAGCCCAGCAGCACCATCCCAAGCCCCACAGGGTTTCTCCAGGCTCTTGAACCCAGTGTGAGGGGACAGGAGGGGGAGAATGGCCCCAGCTTGGCACTTACCTTCTCAAAGGTGGCCAGCAGCACGTGGCAGTGCCCAGTGTGCTCTGCAAGACACAAAGGGGGACACAGGGCTCAGGGCACATGCAGAGGCACAAGCAGAGTCACAATGGCAGCAAGGAAAAGCAGAAAGTTCTACCCAGCAGGTATCACAATGTCAGCAACTGGGAAAGGCCATGGCAACAAGAAAGCCCTTCCTCACCCTCTCCTTCATCCACCACTGCCTGCACCACCATGGGGTACACCTCCCGGTCCAGGTCGAAGCCCAGCTGGAGAGAGACAGGAGGAGAGGTTTGGTAAGACGGCGCAGTGATGCAGGATTTCATCCCACCTCCATCAGTGTACCCAACGCCGTGGTGGATGCCAGGGGCTGGGGGCACCCACCTCCTCCTCGCTCCACTCGGAGGGGTCGATGGTGTGGGAGGGCACACAGAACTGCTGGCACACACCCCGCTTGTAGTGCACCGTCTCCGACTGCAGGCTGTTGTCCCTGGGGATGTAGCTGTCCCACGGAGAGAGGACAGAGTCAGGGCACCGTGGGTGTCCCAACACTCCCTCCTGGTCCCCCCAGATCACAGACACCAGGAAGATGGGAGAGAGGGGGCTAATTCCTCCCCTTCTCTCCTTGATGCCTTTTAGGGCTGAGGTAAGAAGTCCTAAAAAGGGCTAAAATAATCCACAGGAAGAGAATAACCCCAGGGAAGCCAACATGGGACAGGAAGGGACAGGGATAACTCTGCAGCCAACCTAGAGGGGACTAGGAAGGACAACGATTTCTCAAAGTCTGTTCTGACCTGAAGGTAAAAAGAGGGAGCCGGATGGGACAGGAAAGGTGACAGAGGCTGGAGAGACCTGCTGGTGGCACTCAGGGGAGACAAGGAGCTCCTCTCCATCCTCAGCACTGCCAGCATCTGTCTTGTGCCCTGAGGAGGGGCAATGCCCCAGAGGGGAGAAGCTCCATGTCCCCCAGCAGAGCTGCAAGCAGGGGGTAACACAGGCCAGGCTGGGGCTCCTCACCTTGCCACCCCGTTGTGAAACTCCTCGGTCGCCTGGTAGTAGATGGTTATGGCCACACGGGCATCCGTGTCGAAGGTGAACTCCACGTTGTAGTGCACCTTGGCTTTGCTGACCTCTTCCCCTGGGGTCTTCACCTCCTCCGAGCACCTGGGGAGCACAGAGGGTCCAGGAGATGGGCACACCTTGGCAGTGGCTCCGGGGGCTCCATGACTGACCGCCTCTCGACTG